TATTTCCCTCTTATTACTGCTTTTGCTGCATCCCATATATTCTGGAAAGTGGTGTCCTCCTTGTCATTCAATTCAAAGTATTTTTTTAATTTCTTCTTTGATCGCCTCAGTAGTCCAGTGGTCTTCCAGTAGTGTGGATTTTAATCTCCATGAAGTGGGAGGGTTCCTTATTTTCTTTTCATGATTTATTTCTAGCTTGATGCCTTTATGATTGGAGAAGATAGTTGGAATGATTTTGATCTTCATATATGTGTTAATGTTTGTCTTATGTCCCAGTATGTGATCAATTCTGGAAAATGATCCTTGAGCACTTGAGAAAAATGTGTACTCGGATTTTTGGGGGGTGCAATGTCCTATAGATGTCTGTTAAGTCCATGTGTTCTGTTTTTAATTTAGGTCTCTAGTGTCTTTGTTTATTTTTTGTCTCATTGATCTGTGTTGAAGTCTCCCACTATATATATTTTTTCTTTAATATCTGTTTTCAGAGCTGATAATAATTGTCTAATATATTTTGGTGCCCCTTCATTTGGTGAGTATATGTTGATGAGTGTTATATCTTCCTGATGTATTGTCCCCTTTATCATAATGTAGTATCCATCTGCCTAACCTCAGACGGGTGGTCACCCTATCTTAATACAGAAGTTTACACTGACACCAATGCTGTCTATGATAAAATTAGAAATGGTGAATTGAACCCAAAAGAAACAATCACCTTAAAAATGAATTTTTCTCCTCATTTGTATTTGTGGTTGTCAGAATAATGCCAGTCTCTCTCTCTGTCCTCTAGCTCAGTAAGAGTATGCAGCATGTTGTTCCTTCTTCAGAGCATGTGCTCTTTGAATAGAGTATAAACTACCCCCAGTATTCACCTCTTTCATCCACTCAGTCTTCATTCTCCTTCATAATTCTCTGACTATGTTTTAAGGCATAATTTCTGAGGGCCTGGAATGTTCACTGAGTGCCCTTTTAATTTACATGGAAGACATTCCCATGTCCAGCCATCATCCTGCAGCCATTTCCTGAGAACCCATCAAAACCCAGAACTGTGGTAGCTGCTCCAGACAGAAGCTGAAGGGAGCATTTATCTGTCCTGTCAGAACACATAAAGGTGTGTTATTTGTTGATGCCCACAGGAACTTTTCACAAACCTAGGGACTTTATAAAAACTGCCAAGACTTCTTCCTTATGTGTGATAGATTAGCATGAATTTTGTTACCATCCTGAATGTAAAGGCTTCTATTTCACAAGTGGAAAGTAGGGAGCAGAGTGGTGGGAAACCCTCTGCACCACACAAGGCCTCCCCCTCCATGCTGGGCCTTCTGCTGTGCACTGTCTCCTGTGGCAGGGATTTAGTGGTTCAGACTGCACATGTGTCATGATGTTGACAGTAGAAATTATTAGACCCAACACTCTCCCCTTATCACCCAGGAGACCCCAATCCAGACCAGAAAAACAACAGCAGCAGCAAGTTTATTTTCTTATAATCCTCAGTGTCTTGACTTGTAGATTATAGAAATCCCAGTTTCACTGACTGGGGAATAGAAATGAAAATTAAATGTCAGCAATAATCCCATCACCTTGGATTCTAGCTGCTCCTTATATAAGCCTTAGATGTATTCAAGTTAAATTGGAATAATTCAGAGATACAGGGAGTTCTTTCTGCCCATTACAAATCTCCCAAATAACCACAAGGAAACCATTGTGAGAGGCCACCTGTGGAGTGACCTCCTTGAGGCCCTGTTCCTGAAAACCTGTTTCCCTGTGTTTTATTAGCTAATTTCCCCTCACCCGATGTGCTCCTGGATTATCTCAAATGCTCACTTTGAGGCTGAATTATGTTCCCCTGTAGAACCTCACATCATTTCCCTTCATAATGCAAATCACAGCTCACATTTCTGTACAATCAGTGTTCTTGTTGTGCAATGCTTGCTTCCCCACCACATCATCATGTCCAGCACACCAGTTTCTGGGGATGCTCAGCAACCATTTACTGGAAGAAGAGAGAGAGAACTCTTTCTTTGATATATTCCCTGGCTCTCCAGACCCAATGGCCTCACTCAACTTGGTAACCTTGTGCTCATAATGTATGTATTTCATAATCATATTCAATCTTGCCAAGAGTCCATTTCAATTTAAAATAAACCACCTTCTTTTTCTCTGGAGAATAAAATGTGTTTCATGCATCTCCAGTCCTCTATTATCATCTGTTCCAAATCTGCACCATTAGTTAACTATGGTTTGTCTAACTCTATTGGTAGTTTGGTGCCCCAATGCCTAATCTGTCTAGGCTGGAAGATGGGAACTGAAATAGACAATCCTACAACTCTCTGATAATTTCTTCATTCTTTCTAACCCTATTTCCCTAGCAGACTGTTCATTTAACTTTTCCCCAAGTAAATATCATTCTCCTTGGCAAGTAAGGAAGCAAAATGAAACTTAGCAAACTGTAAGCTTTCTCCCTTTATTGATGTTCTTCTTGTGTAACAAAAATAGGGATTTATGGGAGAAGCCTTAAATTATGGGGCGCCAGAGCACCTCGTGACACTCTGCAATGTACCCGCTTTGTCAAGGAGGTGCTCTCCTTTGTGCACATATTTATTGGGTCACAAACAGACTGGTGCTGGTCCAGTAGTCATGGAAGCAGACACTTAGCAGCAGAATGATCCCTCATCTCAACCAATATAGCAGTTTCTTAACAATGTGGCTTAAGCTGGGTTGACACTATTGGCCATCAGTGTGGTTTCTATTACATTGTGGTTAACTGTACTGCCAAGCTTTCTTTTGTTGAATTGTCTAAGCAAGTTCCTTTTTTACATCAAATTTCCCTCTTAAATATTTTTAATCTTATCAACCTGCCTCCCAAGTCTCCAGTAGTTCAAACATCACTTACCCCTTTTATTCCCTGAAAGATTACCTTAGCAATGTGGAACTATCTCCTAAAAGTGGCATCTCCCCAACTGCCAGGTTTCAGGTGATGTAGGTTTGCTGCAACCATCTCCTGCCATATCCTAAAACATTTTTAGAATTGTCATCTCTACCCAAGCACTAGAAAGCATGGTGACATGATAGTGGTGATGTGGCAAGGGCTCCCCTCTGCTCATCTCTGCAGTGAAACATCTAGTCACCCTGGAGGGAAGTCAGTACCTCAGACATCACTCCTTTTTCCCAGTGAAGGAGGGGAGCTCAAAGTGAGCTTTTGTAGTGAGTTTATCATTTTTTTATCATTTTGCTTACTATGTATCAGTGATTTTATCATTTTTTTTTCAAGATTAACAATTAAAACCATTGTTTTGAAATTAGAGGGACTTAATAGTGGTCTAGAGTTTGAAGAAAACTCTCCGGATCTCTTAGCAGTGTTTGCTTCTGAAAAACAGCAACCATGCTTCTGATTTTTTTCCTGCTTCTGGCACTTCTTCTCTGCCCAAGCCTGCACTCTGACCCTGCAGTTAGTTATACTTACAGTCTCTTCTCTTCCAAATCTACTCATTCTCTTTAACAGAGACCATCACAGTCCATACTCCAGCGACCTAATTCTGTTTTGTGCTTCCACAGGCCTGTTTTGTGCTTCCAACCTGTGTCTTTATTCCAGGGGTTCACATTCAATAAGATCAGAACTGAGTCATCTCCCCCACTGCTTCCAGGCCTCACTTGCCATCCTGATCTTCATTTGTCAGCTGCGTGTGGAGGTGGCTAAAATCCAGGGAAAGCTAGTGGAGCTGGTGGTTGGTGTGCCTGTCAAAACAAAAGGCAGGTTGTGTTGAACAGCTAAGTGGTCTGAGAGTTGTGCTTTCTACTCAGATGCACAAATATACTTCCTATATTTAACCCTGGGCAACATATGGTAGTGGCACTCATACATCACTCATCAGGTTAAGTAAAGTTTTAGTGAGATAACATAAGCAGTAGGACCTGATACATAGTAAGCAAACAGGAAATAGTCTAAGTGGTGGTTGTTCATGCTCAAAGAAATCCATTTGTGAACTTGAATATTTGCTTTGATAACAAAATGAAAAAGTAGGACAAGATGCCTAAGTTGCAGGTTGGTTCAATTTAGAATGTGTTGAACTCAGTGAAAATAAGGTGAGAATTCAATGTTTTTTTACACACTTTTACATGAAGCCATTGCTTTTCTTAAAAATGCTGTTTAATCCTACCTTCCCCTAAATTATTTTCCTCAAAATTCTACAGACCAAATTTTCTGCCATTGGGCCATCCCAGGAGAGTGAAGGAATGAACTACAAGTGGAATGGATGGGAGGAGGGGGGGGATAGAAAATGGGAAGTTTGAGTTTTCTCAAGACCTTGTATGTTTGCTTTCTTTATTCATATAGTAGTAGCAGCAGTAGTAATAATAATAACAGGCCCTCAGCAAATTCACATCCCAGGGATAGAGTGAGCTGTCCATCATGGGTCATTCCTAAAGGAGTTCCCACTCCAGCTAGCAGAGAAACAAACCTGTTGGGACTTGCAGTCTGGGGTGGCCCTCAGCGTAAGATGGGGTGATTGGCCTCCTAGGACTCAGAGCAAGAGAGCTTTTCCCAAGAAACAGTGTGAATGCTTCTTCCTGAGGAATAATAGCTTTCCAGAAGGAAAGGAGCTTTCCACCCAGAGAAATACCACACGTAGAGACTGACCCAAAGGAGGGAAAGACCACCAGGCACATCAGAAAAACTAGGAGGAAACTCAGAGGCTCAGGATACCAAGGCAGCTGGCACCTCTGGGAGAGGAGCAGGAACCTGCAGTCATAGCATAGACTCCACAGTTCTTCCTTCCCTATGTTCTCTTCTGAATGCAGAAGCCAGGCATTGAACGTGTTGAAACAAATTTGTATTTCACAGTTTTCTCCTTAGTATTCTAAATGGGATGGGCATCGGTTTAGAAGATTGCTTCTCAGAAGAGTTGCATTGTCAGGATAGATTTACTCATAGTTTTGTAGCCCTGAATACCCTAGTCCCTGATTGACCACACACCCCAAGTAACCGAGACTCTGTCTTCATGCAGGTCCCCTTGCTCGTGTGAATCATCTGTAAGATCAGAAGGCAGAAACCCACCTGTAAGATGCCCACAATCACAACTCAAGGATGCCACACACAAGGGGTGCCAGGATTTGGTGTGCTCCTTTGTCTACAGGCCAAAACTCAAGGCATTGATTTACAATCTTTTGTAATCCTCCAAAGTGGGGAGCGGGTGCTGCTCTGATGTGTGGCTTGTGTGCCAAGTAAATGTATTTTGCCTCTGAATATTTAAAATTGCCAATACACAATTCTTGTTGGCAGGTTAATGGGAATATAAATGTTGGTGCCCAACACTACCACTTAATTATGTTAATGGGCAAAGTATACATTCATGCCTTAGATTGATTTGGAACCTTTGAGAATTTTATCACATACAGATGACTAAAACCATGTAGTTGTATAAGATCTTTTGAATCCATCCATTTACATATATATTTGTATGTATGTATGCATACATAAATGTGTGTGTGTGTATATATATATATATATATATATGTATGTATGTATGTGTGTATGTGTACACACAGTAGGGGAGATGGATCTCAGTGGAAGCAATCTGAATATAATATGCTACATGCTGTTATGTGTTTTAGTATTAACAAAAAAAAGTTCACAAACTTTTTCAAAGGTGATATGTTGAGTAATGAAATTGCTGGAATTTTGTTCCTGAAAACTTTGGGGTTAAACCCTTATGGAAGTTCACAGATCATGATCTGACCAAAGAATATTTTAAAAATCAACTGTGATCACCCAAAATCATACATGATGTACTGACAAAGGATTTCTGAATTCTCCAAAGGCAGGGTGGCTAAAATCAGAGTGACTTTAAAGTAGACACTGGTACTCCACAGCTGTCCAACAGCTGTCCCCAGTGGGCTGTGAAGTAGAACATGCCTCCCAGAGCGGGGCTGTGTGCAGAGCCCATAACCTCCCTGGGAGCCTTGGCAATGGTGTAGGATGTCAAGAGGGGGTATTTTGAGTGTCTTTGTGTCACCGAAATCAAATCAATATTGTGCTAATACTTCATAATATGGGTTTGATCTTGATGCTTTTGTCCTATAGATCAGTGGCTCCCCTGATATCATTAAAGCAGACTTCTCATAGCACATGGGATTCAGCCACCAGTATTTGTAATGAGATTTAACTACTAAGCAGTAGTTTTTCACATCTATCTATCAAACATTTTGTTTCATTGAAAAAATGCTCTTTGAGAGATTAATAGAAATCAAGAAGAGTTCATGAAATAAATTCTCAATCTTAATGAAATAATAAACATTGTTAGATCAGTTTAATGTTTTACAACTATTTCAGATCCAGACTTGAAGTAGAATGGAATCTTCGCTCTGCACTGTGCAATTAACTTCATCACTTTCCTTGGTGTGGCGGGAGCATCCAGCCAATGGCTCTGAACCTCACTGCCCCTACTCTTTGTCTTTAGTGCCACAAATAAAGGAAAATGGTAGCCATTGTGTGAGTTTCATGTTTGGATACCTTATCCCCAGCTAAGCAATATTTATGACTGCCTGCTACTCTCTGGGCATAGTCACTACATATAATACAGACAAGAATATCAGCCCAGGGCCTCCCCTGTGGCGCAGCGTTTGAGCGCTGGGTTGCTAGCCTGCCTCTGCAGCACGGGTTTGATCCCCGGCCGCCAGGTGGGGGTCCCACATGGCGCGCAGACCTCTCCTGCTGCCCGCTGCTCCCCTCAGCAGTGTACTTCGGTCCCTCTGCCTGTTCTGCTCCCTGCTCTGGCTCTGGTGGATTCTCTCACCCTCCCGTGCTTCTGACTGTGCCCAGTGCTTGTATAAATAAATAAATCTTAAAAAAAAAAAAAGAATATCAGCCCACTTGGAGTTTATTACAGTGGAGGCAGATCACAAACAAAAATAAGACAGTAAGTGTATGTAGGTGCTGGTAAGTGCTATGAGGGAAACAATCAGGAAAAGTGATGAAGTGACATTGAGTAAAAACCTCAAGGAATTAAGAGGACAAGCCACAAGCCACAGGTGAACATATAATTAGCAGAGGAAAAGCAAGTGCAAATGCCCTGATGCAGAATTTTGCTTGAAGGAACTAGAAATAGGTTAGAAAAGAGGAAGGGATGGTTATGCAGATATGTACAATTTCCTCGTGTCTGCCCTCCACCCCAGTCTTCACATTCAGTTGGTGCCCCCTTCCCCAGAGAATGTCTGCTCCCTATCAGACCAAGAGAAAGTGGGCCATGAGGTTGAGAAGGGATACCAGTTGAGTTCACCACACCATAGATCATTCTGCTCATAGGGGAAGGATTAACTTTATACTAAATTTATTCTCTGTTGAAATTATGCGTTCTGTATCTCAGGCCCTACTGAAGCCTGGGATCCGGGCTTCAGATAGAGAATAATACAGCCTGTGAGCCCTGCTTCCATCTTTCTGCAGTGTTTTCACAGTAGTTCTTGGTGGATTTCATTAAACGTGAATGGTGATGAGGTACCATTTTCCAGATGAGGACGCTGAAGTCCAAGAAGATGAAGCAACTTGGTCATGTTCTCCTCATTCTTGAAACAATCTATGTTTCCTATTCCTGCAGAATCAAGTCTAAAGCCCTTAGTCTATGAGATTCTCAGTGGCCTAACTTCCCTTAAGTAGTTTCTTATATCTACATGGACACATCATGCTTTTGAAAGCATTCCCTTTGTGCCTAGAGCATTTCTCCTGTCAGAATTGCATAGTAGCCCCCACTGCCTACTCCATCAAGGGAAAATCCAACCCTGTTCTTAAAGACTCTCTTCCTGCATGTGTGTTTTCTACAATCAAGGGCAAGCCCTCCTCCATGCTCCACTACAAGCTCATTTTTGACAATCATCTCTACTCTTCCCACATACATTGCTCCTCAGCTTGTCCATAAACCTGCCTCTCCAACCACAGGAGTACCATTAAGGGAAGGAGGCATGTCTGAATGAAATTCCAAGGTCCCAGAGGAAGTTCCTTCCTGTACCCAGGGAAAGGCTGGGCTCACACCTACTATTACAACATGATAATTAAGAGCATCCTCTTGATCCCCAAAATGTCTGACTTTAGACAAAATAATTTGGTTCAGATGGGGTATTCAATAAATGTTCAATGACAATAAGCTTTGAGTGAAGTCCAGGGTCCCTATATCCAGTCTGAAATTTTACATTTTTCCCTTCTGCCTCTATACTGTAGTTTATACCCAGAAATGGGCCCAGATCTTTCTAGGCCTCACATCAAGAAGTAGACAGAGTGAAAACTGGAGAACTTTCCCAGATAGGTCTAGTTTCTGAAACCTGCTCATTTCCCCCAACCAGAAAGTTGCTCATAAGTGGTGTTCAGCAGAGGGTGGGTCTGTTCGATATCTGCCTAACAATTTCTCATGCCTTTTCAATGGTTGTGTCCATAAGGTACTGTCCTCTCACCTCTGTGCTAACAGGAACCTTTTCTATTTCCCTGGTAGTCTTTCACCTAAGCTGTTTGATCTGAAATTTTAGCTACCAGCAAAGCCTCTCACTTGGCTCTCCTGCAATTTGCCACATCTGACTGTATCACACTCCAAACTTGTAGTGTTCCCCACCCATCTGCCTACCTTGGAGTGGCAAGGTATTGCCACTTTGGTATACCAGTCACATACAAGTGAAATAGCCACCCCATCTCTAAACTTCCTGTCGCTTTCCACAGCTATCAGGTGTTGAAGCCTATGGCTTTTAATTCCATACACTTCTTAGCACATTTTAATTATACCAGCTTCTTAGCAGCTTAGCCCCTTACCTTTTGTCTCCAGCTCCTGTAACATCAGTATTGAGTGCTTAAACAACACACATTTACTTCTCACAGTTCTGGAGTGTGGGAGTCCAAGATCAAGGTGTTGACACATCCAGTGTCTGGTGAGGAGCTGCTTCTGTTTGCAGATGTCTATTCTATCCCACTGTGCTCACATGGTAGAGAAAGATGGCCTCTCCTTTCTTTTCTGATAAGGTGGGATCATCATGATAGATCTGCTCTTAGTAACTTACCACCTAATTACCTAACACCCTAACTAACCTGGAAAGGCCCACCTCCTAATGTAATATTAGGAGGTTATGGTTCCAACATATGAATTGAAGGGGTCACAGTCATTCAGGCATTTCTACCTCTTAACCTCTTGCTTACACAGACCCCAGAGCTAACCTGAAATAAACCACTCACAGACCATAAACTCCAGGATGGAGTTTGGCTTAGTGGGAGAAGGGACAAGCTGCATACCAGGCCAGCTTTGAATTTGAAATTCACATTTCAGACTCCTGTGTCAGATTTCTCAGTTGGTTTGGAACTCATGAAAGATTAAAAGTGTGTGTAGTTAATCACATTCATTATGAAATAAAGTACAGAAAAATCTCATCACCCAACCTCCTCCTATGTTTGGGAGTCAGTAGCCCCCTATGTCCCTTCTTAATGCAACCGCATGGGTAAAACTGAAAAGGAAGATAGTAAGTACATTGTACCCCAAGTCTCCTGGGGTTGGTTGCACAGTTGTTCTATGTAGAAGACAGTCCACGACTTTGCGCTCCCCCTGTAACTGCCAGTGACACTAGCCAGTACAAAATGGGGCCCATGGCATTCAGAATATGGCCAAATTAACAATATCGCCTCCTTAGGTGGAGGCAGAGAAGAGTAGGGACAAGGAAGGTCACAAGGTGGAGATCTGGGATGGAGAAACACCTGGAATTCTCCCAGAGCTGTGAACATGGTAGGGCTTCTCAGGCATTCTCATGGGGAGGCCCAGAAGTTTCTACACAGGGTTTCTCTGCCATGGAACTACTTCCCACCTCCTGAGTTTCCAATTCCCTGTTTTTTTTTTTTTTACTGGAAATGCAAATGTTTTCAAAGCAGAAGGATAAAAAAAAAATTAAATTTACCTGCTATAGAGCAGTTTGGTCAAGTTTCTAGTTGGGTCCAAGTCATGTAAGTTCAGGTAGCTATTACTCTCCAGAGTGGAGCTGACTCACTCTCTCCTCAAATAGAAGAAAATTCACTGGCAGTTGCTGGGTTCTCCAATCCTAGGCCCTTCAGTCCAGACTGCGTGATGACACTGGCCCTAATAGAGCCACCGAGAAAGCAAACCCACGACTCCAGTTGATGGCCCTGATCAAGACTTCTCAAAACCCACCTCAATGTGACTGCTGCTGTCACTAATATTTGCCACCCATCCTTCTCCACACCCCACCAAACACTGAACTGCATGTATTTCCCCAGATATATATGAGTTCTCTCTTCTATAATCAGCACTAGAACTCTTATTCATCCTTCAAACCCTTGAAGGATGGTTTCCCTCCCATGGGAAAGCATCCATAAACACCCACTGCCCTGCAGAGAGAGAGAGACACCTTCCCTGATCTCATACCAGTAACTTGTTGTCATGGTCTCTGCATATTGGAATCCACCAATGGGAGCCCAGAGTATCATATCATGCTAACTTGGTCTCACTATAGGTCTGGGGAGTGATACAAGTGCCATAAGAATTTTTTGAGTTCCAATAGTTCCAACATGGCCAGTGGCAAATTTTTTTGAGCCAAACTCTGGATCTGGCAGGATTTGAATGCAGAGGAGAGTGAATTAGTGACATAAGACCTGGAGAGGGTTTAGACAACAATGACAAGACAGGCTCTCAGAGCTCAGCAAAAGACACACAATGCCATGAAATCAATATCCACAGGTCCAGAATACTGTGAGGGATCTCAAACAGCATTACAAAAGGGAATCCCTTTTGTTCTGGGTCACAGCCTCCAGGTAGGACCTTGAGGTTCAGGTGGAAATCTGGGTCCAGGTGAGGTCTTAGAGTCAAGGTAGGGCCTGAGGTAAGGTCCTGGGGTCAAGGTATAACCCTTGAGTCCACATGAGGACTTGGGGTGAGTGCAGGTAGGGCCATGGGATCCATGTGGGGTCCTGGAAGCGAGGCCCTGAGGGTTGAGATAAGGCCCAGTTTTGCCGATCAACTGGATTCTTATGTTGTAGTGATTGAGGAATTATCACCACAAACCAGACTGAAGGTTAGCAAGCTCAGGCTTATTGGAAGAGAGACTCCTGACAGCAGAGGAGGGATCCAAAGGAGGAGCCCATTACTATTGGGGGTAGGTTTACCTTTAAAATCACTCATGGGACTTCCCCCTCTTCTGGTAATTATCCACTAACCCCTCTTGCCTCATTGCCCTATGGAAGGCTGCGTGAGTCTAGACTCACTGGATGGCAATTCCTCCCCATTCAGGGTGGAAGGTAACTGAACAATAGCTCAGTTGCCCCCCCTCCAATCAGATCCTTCTTTTCTTCAACCACACCCTGTTACACAACTACTACCATCCTCAAACAGGGGCTCAAATCCATTGGGCAAAGAGGGAGCCCATCGTCCTGTTCCGAAGTAGTGGCCACTATCATTGGACTCACCCTGGGGGTTGATACAATACCAAGAAGCTGGGAGACATGAGTCCAGCTACAGAACTGGCAGGCATAAGCTGGAAGCCACAGGAGAGGTGTGGGGAAAGAACAGCACTTGTGGTTACTTCACACCTCTGGGTGACAAAAGGGGGCAATGAGGCAAAGAAGAGTGGTGGAAGTACCTCTCAGTAGGATAAAAACCCTGTGAGCTTTTAAGAGTGGTGGAGAGTTCGCCAAATCACCTATAAAGAAGGAACCTACACACCTCACCAGGGTCCAGGTGAAGCCCTACGGTCCATGAGAAGCCCTGGAGTTGAAATGGAGCCTGAAGTAAAGCCCGAGAGTCTGGGTGGGGCCCTGAGGTCCAGCTACACTTCTGTAATCCG